GATTCTTATTAATTTTATGGGAATTATCTTAATTGATTCATTAATTAAGGTAAGAGTTCGTTGCTGTTCGCTTACAGCGAACGTGCGAAAAGCAGGAAGCGAGTTTGAGAACCGCTGAGCAAAGAGAAAGTTGCGACCGACATATTTCGCGTTCGCACAACCATACGATGTGTATGTCTGTGACTCCTACAGAGCCTAAAAGACATGATACGCGAAGGACGAAGAAGTTAAACGCGTCAAAAAAAGGAATGAGGTAGAGGCACTAATAACTTCATTCGCTCTGGCGAATGAATCTACTCTGACCAGATCAATTAAGGTGTTACTGCAGCAGTCGTAAGTTGCTATCGATGGGAATTCCTGGGAAGTAGAAGTTTTCGCTGATTTCTTCGTTTAACTTTCGAAAACGGAAAAAGAACCATTTTCCTTCTAAATTAAATCTTGTGTATTATATCGAACAAAAATAAAATTAATTATTTTATTAACTTTTTAATTTTTAAACATATAATAAGATTGAATTGTCTATTTGCATCTTTAAACTTAATTTGCAGGAGTTTCTTACTGAGACGGAAATGTTAATAGATCTTTAGTCGTTGTAATTAAAAAGATAATTAAAATGATATTTAACATTGTACACAATTTTTAAATAAAATTTCAAGTTAAGATTCAATATTAAAGTTATAATTCGACATATAAAAATCAAAATTATTCCATTTAAAATCAATCAAAAAGTGCGAACATTGTTATCCATTTTTTCTTTTAAAATTAACGATGGGAAAAGTCCCCCCTCCCCCCTTTTATGCTCAATAGTTGCTCAGAAATTAAAAAGCATTTTTATTGAAAATTCATCAATTAAAGAATCCATGGAAGAAAAAGATTTTCAATACACTTCATATGAACTGAGTAAACTCATTGTCAAGCAAACGATGCGCCACATCGAATAGCGGTACTTCGCATTCATGCTGTTACTTTCGCTGCGCCCCACTCGCTCTCGCCTCGTCGCGTCATTTTCATTCAGTGGTCTCGTAAATGGATTTCTAGAGATGGACTCGATCGGATGATAAAGATAGTTTCGTTTTTATATGAACCATGAACTTATGTACGCGCGCGAGCTATTTGTTTTCAAATTTTCATAAAAATTTCGACGAAACACTTTTTCGTTTTTTTTAGACTTAATTGTTCCAATTTTTTTTATTCTAAAGTATTTGTATTCTATGAAAACATGTTTGATGATTATTTTGAAACAATATTTCGTTCGTAACAATAATGTTCATACAAAGCAATGTACACGGAAAAAAAATGGTTAAATAATTTTTTCACTTACAAAGTTAGTAAAAATATTCTGGCTATTTTTGTCGAACTTATGATTACTTGCTTGAAAATAAAAAATATTAGAGGTGCAAGATACATTACAATTATAATAAATTCATTCAAGTAATTACTTACCGTAAAGCAAATCATTATTCTTAAGACTATATATATAAGCACGAACAATGTAAGAAAAGAGTGTTATGTCTAACATTTTCAAATCTAATTAGAATGATATAATGTACTTTTGTAATTAGTAATAAGTTGAAATAAATATATTAAAACATTTTTTAATTAAAATTTATAATAATTTAATTTCTCATATCCTTAATTTATCTAAAATTAAAATTTTTATTATGTAAGTAAGTATTCCACATCTCTATCTCATTTTAAACTGAGAGAAAAAAATAGTTGCAAGTATCATAATATTTAACTATTTTGTAGTCATTTTTGGGGACAACTATAATTAAATTTATAATTATTTTAACCACGCGCATTATAGCTGTTTCAACATTCAATTATGATCATCACAACTATGATATGCATTCATTGCATGATTATCTTACATATAAACGGAATTTGTATATAGCAAATTGTACTATAAAATATTATAACAGACATAATTTAAAGCTCAAGAAAAACCATATGCCTATATACAGTGATTTACGGTTTACTATCGTAAACAATATTCATATTAATGGTGATAGTCTACCTTTTATGCATAATTATACCTACATCTACACTCAGAGAAAAGTCATATTAGCAACTAGAAATTCGAAGACAAACAGAGCCTCAACGTATTGTAATAAGAACGATAAATAAGTAATATGAATTAAAATGTCTTATTTAAAATATAAGATATTTGTATTTTATATATACATTTCAAATACAAAATAGTTTTTGTGATTTTATTTAAGTACACATTTCAGTTTTCACCTATAGCTACAGTTATAATATTAAATATAATAGCGGACCCTTATAAGTAGACACCTGTCAGTCAATATATGGTAAAATTTAGTAAAATTTACTAGAATTCTAGTGCATATATTATATTACTTTTTTCCGTGTATAATCCTTCGTTATAATTTTATGCAAATACAATTTCTTTGTAATTGACACGCGTCAATATTAGTAATATTACGTGATCGAAGGTTGCTGGAACCAACGACATGTAGTCTGCTACTGCTCATTATAGATACACTCGTGCACATCGGATATAGCAAGTTCTACAAGCGATTGTGCCTGATGAGAAATTCGCGAGGCGAAACAAGCACGACGATACACACTTCGTTCACCGTCACTTTCGCTGCGCTTCGGAAAATCCGCTATTCCCGTTCGACGGTCATGCGTGCGTGTCTAAGCGCGTGACGTGCATACGGGGTCGTCATTGAAGAAGTAATCCACATTGCATGTATGTGGAACACAAGAACATATCGTGCGCGGTAGTGCGGCCACAAAAGAAATGGCGAAAGTAACAGAGTTTGATAAACATTTTCGATAAGGTAATAATAATGTATCATAATTCTTTTTCAGTAATAATATATATGTATGCCCCTACATAATTAAATTTAATCTATAACAACTATTTATTAATTACCTATAAAATAATTAATTATTAATATAAATTGAATCAATAGTAACTATATTCAGTATCTATAAAATAATTGATCTATAAGATAATTAATTATCTGTGTATCATAAGATATTTAAATTTAATCTAAAGCACTATAAAAATTGCAGTTTTTGAAATTATTATAGAACTTATTCTATTAACTAATCTATTTTGTAAAAATTTATTCTATTAACAAATAAGGTAATTTCAAATTTAATACACGCGATCGCCGATTAGTGGTTGGCGATACGAATCGCTTACCGCTTTCGCATGTCGGCGAGTCGCGGCAGTATGTTGTACAGGCACAAATGCAAGTGCAAGGTAGTGCAACGGCACTCCGGGAGTCCGACAGAAGTGAGCGAAAGTTTCTTGCGTCAGTCATGCAAGCACATAACGCGCGCATAATGAGCTATCGATGTATGCACCGTGATCACGCTGTCGGGAATCTCGGCTTTTTCACCTTTGGACGAGCCGTTTTGCTTTCCTGCGTCGTGTATTTTAGACTACATTTTACAGCACTAACAGTTGCCTGCCTGGTTAGATGGACACGATCGGCGCTCACTTGGAAAATTATCAACCGTCGACGAGGAAGCAGTCTCGAAATCTGTGTTGAAATTATAAGGTCCAGTTTTTTGTTTCCTGGTTAATTTATGATTAGATTTAATTTGATGATAATGTGTGTAAAAATTGTATTTTTGTGGCTATGCGGTTAATCACTAAAATGATAATATTAAAACGAGAAGGGCTATATTAGAGCCTCGATATCAAGATAACTTACGCTATAATAAAACTTTATTGAAACAATGATAAACAATTTTCAATAACAAATTTCAAAGGTTTCGACCTTTTTCCAACGGTCTTCTTCAGTGAATATGTCTGACTTATGTGTTACTGATCGGTATACAATTGCAATCCGTCTACAAAACTTTTTGTTCCTATCAATACATATCAGTTTTGATAAAATTAAATTATCTTGCTAGACTCTAATAGACCTTCTCGTTTTAATATTAGTGAATTTATTCAAATTGAGTCGAGAGAGTCTTATAATATATTTAATTAACTAAAATATAACTAAAATATATATATATATATATATATATATATATATGATAGTTTTATAATGACTTTTAAAGTTACCACTATTATATCATCAGTTTAGTGATTAACCATAGGTAAAAAGAAATATAATTTTTATATTATCATCATAATAAATGAAATTAAGTTTAAACCACAAGTTAACCAGAAAATGAAAAACTGAGCTTAAATGACTTTCGCTATCTCGTTATCGCTCACCGGCATCCCGCGTTTGCTATTGTCTTCAAGTTTTACAGGTATGCCAGACGTGAGGCGTGCGGTAACGGTATAATGAAGTGAGATATCGGTTGTCGAGGAAGTGCCACCGGAGAGAGATTTAGATTATGACTGAGCCGATCGAGGAAAGTGCCGCTCCGCTGCATACGAAATGAACTAGAAATCAAGATCTAGAAACTACATTTTGCTTTCGTTTACGACAAAAAGAGAAAGAAAGGATGCGTTCGATTATTATGAACGTGATGGCATTACCAAAATGTAGACAAAATGTGTGACAAAAATGTATGTATGTATGATGAAATTAAAAATATTAGAAAATGTATACACAACACTCTTATTTATACAGGGTGTCCCACATTTAAATGGTCTAACTTCGGGAGCGTGTAGAGGATCGATAAACTAAGACAGAAGTTCTTTAGAGATATGCTCGTTTTTGCTTTGTTTTTGGAGAAAATCGCAAAAAAGACAAAACATAATTTTTATTTTTGTACTTATTTATTACTTATTCATTCACACTTATTTATTTACGTTGTTGCTTGCTTAATGCAGACATTGTTGAAAATGTTGGCCTCATGCAACAATGCACGCATTGTATTCTGTATGGACAGTTTGTGTTGCAGCAACAAACACTGATTTGGTCAACGTAATGACTCGCTAATCCGGCACTCTTCTGTCTGAAAATTGGCACGCATACTCTCGTATCACCTCTGAAGCGTTATCGCTGAAGTCGTATACGAAAACAATAATATTCCAAATCATGGCTGTAGTGCATGAAATATCACCAGATCAGTGTTTAGCTGCAACACGAGCTGTCCGTACTAAATGCAATGCTTGCATTGCTGCAAGAGGCCAATACTTTCAACAATATCTACATTAGAAATATATGCATACATTAAGAAAGTGACAATGTGAATAAATAAGTATAAAAATGAAATAACCGAGGAAATAATGTTTTGTCTTTTTGAAATTCCCTCCAAAACGAAGTAAAAACGAACATATCTATAAGAACATATCTTTTTTCTTAATTTATCGATTCTCTATATACGCTTCCGAAGTTTGGCAATTTAAATTCATTTATTTAATATACAAGGACACCCTGTATATTAAATTACTTCGTAACAAATAGTAAACAATACAAAACATGTAACGCATATATATCAACATATGACGTAATATTATTAATTTTAATGGAATGGATTGTATAAATCTCTAGATAATTATTAGATAATTATTAATCTTCTGGGCTAACGGTGGGTCTATTGGACCCACTCAATTATAAATCTCTTTGTAAAAAATGTCAAACAATTCAATTTTTTAATTATTAAGTCTGCAATTTTAGATTATTCTTATTTAAATATATTTAGAATTCATTTTTTTAGATATGAGTTATGCTTTGATTGCTTTATTAAAATTAATTAGTGTCTTTTAACTAATATAATTAATATAAATTAAATGAGACTTATAGCGTTTTTTTTTGTACTGTGTTATAGATTTCGATATCAACTCTGGAAAGTTCAGCGTATGAAAATTATTAAGAAAATCTAATCGCTCATTTTGTTCAATTTCGATTATGAGATATTATCGATTTAATTCAATGATTTGTGATTTGGCATTTTCAATGCGAATGCTGGGCACAGTTACAAATCGATTGTGAACGGTGCTTAAAATGACCCGTCACGAAGCAACGACCCGGAAGCGATAACTGCGCGCGAGGTCGAACCCACGGTCGATAAGGAGGTCGGGCATGTACATACAGAGCAGCGGTGAGTTTTTCCAGGGTGGTATATTCGTCGTATTAGTATGGACATCGTTTTGCATGTGCCTGATGTACTCTTATGCGTATGCTTTTGTATATGTGTGTCACATAATCGATGCAATCTTAGACAACGGCGATGCATTTCCGTACCGGGATGGCACGATAAGCCACACGAAATCTGATGCATTATTATTTCACGCGCTATAGCAAAGAAGAATGGTTAAACGTTTGCCAGCAATAAGCGGGACGGTTAATTAATATGAGCTCTACTTCAATGATTGATGTAGGAAAATTTCTTGACCAAATCTTGAACGCGACCTGAATCTCTCTCTTTAATAAAAAAAGCTTTCAAGTATGTCTCGTTTTGCGACGCGAGATAGAGAATTCGAAAATGTACTTAGTTGCGGTATAACTTATTATTAGTTATGTCGCGTCGTTGTGACGTAAATATCACTTGACAGATATTCGCTACGTGATTTAGAAATTATATATAGTTGATAATAAATTTTATATACAAGACTAGCGATATAATCGATCAAACTTCATGTTTCTTTATACAATTGTCAAAATTATAAAGATATACAATATTTTTTAATCTTTTAATATTTTTAATATTTTGTATTTTTCTATTTTTATCAGTTTTGTAAAAAATTTTATAAAAGAATTTTGATTAAAAGGAGTTCATGGATAAAAGTCGTTTTGATACGAAATACAGGATCAATGTATTCTATATGTTAAAAGTATCATAAAATATTCAATGTACATAATTATTTAATTGTCTTCTTATACTGGAATCGGACACGATTTCTAGGACATATGTGATTAGAGAAAACAACAACTTAAAATACTCAACGCTAACAATCAATGCAGGGTGAGAATACACGTTGTTGACCGCGTACGACTCGCGCACGATGTGAATGCGACCTAACGCGGCATAAACGCGTCGTGTTGCAATGGCCCAGAAGCAGTAGCTATAGGCGAAGGGTCAAAAACACCAAGCGGCACAGTTTCTAGGCCATGCGCTATCTATAAACCCCTGTGTGAGCTTCAGCCCCCGCTTCTCTCTCCCGCCTTACTCTTTCCACCTCCTGCCTCCCCGCTCCCAGCACTAACCCTCCCACACTCGTTGAACCCTACCTACACTATCCACAGGACACGGCACTTATACCACTATGTTCCCGCGCTACGCCTATATCCGTACTCTCTTTCTAGTTCTCCTTCTCTATCTTCGTCGCACTCTTCCAGCGACCAGCCATCTCTCACTTTCTCTTGGCCGTACCAATGAACGCCGCGCGCCGCGCCGCGCCGGCCGCTCTTAGAGCGGTGTCTTTGGCTTTGGTATAAAGAGCACACGGAGACTCGAAATAGAGTTGGCTTTTCGATATCTTAGTTTCCGCGAAATGTCGTTTCGGCCGAATTTTGGCCATGACTGCCGACGAAAAGATGTAATTTGCGTTCTTGAGATTCGATATTTATCCCGTCCGTGAATATTTCGATTCCTCACTTTCTTAATCCTTAAACTTAAATCATCAATTTATTACACAACGTGACAATAGAAACTGATCATAATAGATTAAGACCTTTAAAATGTTCAAATAAGAGAAATTAAATTATCTTGATAATGACAAGTAATTAATCAAATTGTATAGATTTTATATATTTTTGCAGTTTATTGAGAAGATTACATAATAATAGTTTGAATTTTATAGTCAATGTATCAAAAGCATTTAATTAATATATTTGAGTTTTTAATGAGATAGACACTATTAATTCCAAAAGTTCACTACATTTTTCAGAAATTAAAAATTTAATTTAGCAAATTACCTCGCGATTGTCTAATTTTTAATTAACATTAAAAATTGCTACGTATCACCATAATATCGACATTTTTAAGGTAATCAGTACCATCATTATGTCATTATCTTTTTCATAATTTCTATGTAGCTTATCAATCTTCGCATTATGCTCTGCGAACATCTTATGCTTCGCAGATTGCAGAATAGGGTAGATGAGATAGGGATATCACTTCGACGTCACGTGATCATGGAACGAGAGCGAGTGACTGATTTGCGCAATGACCGGAAAGGAACCACGCCTGCGATGCCGGGTCCAGGTCCAAGCAATTCGGCATTTAAACTTGACAATGGCGGCCAATGAATGCTCTTGAACGGGGAAAATAATGCAATACGCATGCACGCACCATTACCTGGACCTTCTCTTAGTGTCTTACGCAATCGATCTTCATCATGCCCACATTCGCACGAAAGTATCATGCAGGCCAGCGACCGACCGCTCTCTCTTCCGCGAAGGTTCTCATCGTCGTGCAGTACCATGTCGTAATTGGAAAAGCAGAAAATACTTGGTCGATTTTTATCATAATAACAAAATTTTAAATGTGATTGATATTTGAACAAAAAATCTCACCAATAATATAAGAGAAAGTAAAAAATGCTGTAAAATATTTTAGATGCACTATAATATGTGAAATTTACATTATAGAGATGAATTCTTTTTATAAATTTGAAATCAATATTTTTCACTCATATGCAAGTATGAAACAATATAAATGCCGAGTATATGGAATTTTGTTTACAAACATTAGACTCGCGAAAAAAATTAATTAGCAAGTATTATCAATTAAATTAATAGTGTTATTTCGTGATGGACAATTATATTCGTCATAAACATCCGATTATTATCGATAATTTCAACGGTAAATCTGGTGTAGAATGATCAGCATTTTCGCAAAAACACATCAACCTTTTGCAAAATTGCGACGTGCTTTGACATCGATTCATGCTCTTCCTTAATTTATTAATGATCATTAATACAACGGGTAAAAATTCGCATAATTTATTCGAAGATTGACGATGCGACAATATTTATGAAATTATAAACTTTTTGGATTTCTCAAGCATTAGGCAAAAAATGTTCTTAATCTCGAGAAGTAAAATTTTTAAGTAGGCTTTGATGTACGTGTTACTCGTAACAAAATTTCGTCTGCACTTTAATGCGCTTATTTCGCCCGCGTACATCCGCGCTGTTGCTCATAACGGCTATCTTTACTTGGTTTAATACTCCGGACTAACGACTTTCACTTGGTAGGAGACTCATTTCCTGAACATGCAAGTCAACCAGGCGCCGTTACGCGATCAAGCCGGAATGAAAAACGAAAAATTATTTCACGAATGTCCTTATTTTTAACATACTTTGCGTGATATTTCTGCGTAGATATTTGTGTTTAAAACTGATACGTAATAGCTAATACATCGTACATATAGACAAAAATGAACAAATATGAAAAATATGCAGATATGCCTACAGGAGAGAAATGAGAAAGTGAATAAAATTATTTTAAAGAATTTTTTAAAGAGACAAAATTCTAAAATGATTTTTTATGAAGAGATTTATTTTTAGAGAGAATTCTTCTTAAAATAATTTTTTTTTAGAGGACATTTTCTAATATCAAAATTTGAAATTAAAAAAATTTTTTTTAATTTTATTTTTTAGTATTTACTCAAATGCGCTAATAACAATTAAATAAATATAATTATTAGGTTAAATATATGAAATAACCGTTTTTCGTATTGTTATTATTAATAGTAACTGTAACTTTCTTATAAATAAACATTTAAATTAAAAGAAAGAGTTTTAGAACTTAAAATCTCTATAATTTTCGGAAGGTCACTATGGTTTTAGAGTCTCTGTGAGTTTGGTAATTTTTACTTATATGTAGAAAACTATAAGTCAGATAAAATGGGAAACTTTTTGTCATTTTATGGACTTGTCAGGTGCTCAAAAAAATTTAAGAAAATATTTGACTTTCTATTGTAAAAGCTCAAAGCTTTCGTTACAAAATCGTTTAAAAAAATTGTTCCTAAGATTTGTTGTTACTGAGTTATCGCAGATTAAATAAAAGAAGTATTTTGTTTTTAGTTGCTCATGACACCGTTAAAAATCATCGTATCGCAATTGAAAAAACAAATTCTTAAAGCTGAAACTTTGCTCTATCGAATCGTATTAGAGTCCCTATAAGAGAGTCGCGTCAATCTTGTCAAAATTTTCATTGGCTTTGAAGTAAAATGGCGGAACCAATCATCGATGCTATTATATCCCCACTTTGAGTATCGTGAACGCGGTGAGAGAGAGAGATTTAGATTTTAGAAATTGTAAGAGTAGAATTTACGTTAAATTATATAATATTGACAAATAGAATTTATGTTAAATTACAAAATATTGACAGAAATAGATCTGTTTTCTATAGCTGAATTAGTTTTACACTTTTGGAACTAAAATAGTGACGATATGAAACAGTACTGAAATAACACTTTCATTTAACAATACTTTTATTTTACAATAAAATATCTTGCCATCGTCAAACTGCTATATACTAATAATTTTAAACGCCCTTTTTAACAATATGTTTTAACCATGATTTAGTCATGTTTTTTGCGCGGAGAAGACGTAAAAATTATATAATTGATGACAAGGTTAGAATGTCATTTTTGACGTTATCCTACACACCACATAATATCTATATCTTTTATATATTTTTAATTCGAAACCTTTATAATAATGTATAAGCTTAGCTATTTATAATTTTGATACATCTAAAATAATTTCATCACTTTATTAATCAAAAAAGCTTCCACCATGACTTTGGGGTGATCCCGATTGATCACGGCTCGATTGGACACCACCAATCACAGTGACCGGTGCTTAGAAACTTTGTAGTCTCAAGTGCTGTGAATGGCTCGTGTCCAATTGAGTCGCGTCCAACTGGGTGCCACCCCATGACTTTATGCTCTACGTAATAGAAAGTCTAGAGCCCTTCTCTAATAGAGTCCCTGTTAGACGCCATTTTACTTCACATTGACGCGACTCTCTTATAGGTATAATTGTCAAATTTTTTTTAAAAACATGTAGACATTTCGTATTAATAATAATACGAAAAACGGACATTTCATTTCCACTTGATAATCTAATAAAACGATGCAATAAATAATAGGAAAAATAATTTCATTAATAACGGTGTATCGATGACATGGCTTTATCTTATTTTGGTATCGCTTGTCCTTATGTAATGTTCCATGGCCGATGATTCAAGCGGAATAGGGTAGGCGTAGCCGTAGGAGTGCAGGCACGACGTTTATGGCCTATCTTCACCGCAACTGACAATGAGTGAAATCGCGAGAGTGGAGCTTATCAAAAACTATCTTTTTTATCATGTCACGCGGCTGTTCCTTCCGATTTTCTCATGTACGAGGTGCGACCTATAGGATTAATGAAACAAACGCCCACGGACTAAAACGGCCAGATCACTTCACTTCCCGTTGCATAACGCAATTAAACGGTTATTTAACATAGCGAGTGCATGGTACTAAGTCGATTGAAGGGAAAAATGAGAGAGATGGTACAATAATTGACACTAACAATGAGTTGAACGTGAATTGGAAACGTACGTGTTGTTTTGCGATTTTGTTATCCCGAATATTCTATCATAATTCATAAAATTGATAATGATCTGTAATCTTACACGCGACTCTTCTAATGTCGTTTTATATAACGTACGTTTGACTGTATACAAGTTGCATAACGAAAGCGGTTGAACGATCGGCCAAAGGAAGCGTGGATTTGTATCTTATTTGTAAAACGTTCTGTGAGCGATATACGAAAATAATATAGACGTGGCACTTCTGAGAGAACACAAGACACAACTTTATTTAGCCTGAGATACACAATAATGGGGGTGATACAAGCGATCGACGAAGCGCGCGCGGGAAAGGTGTAAAAGAACATGAACTGCATAAAGCTTCATAGATGGGAAAAACGAAGTCTGCATCCATGCGCTCTGGCGATTGGTTGGATCAAGCGTTAATGGAGATGTCGCCACGAATTGGCTGATTTGATTATCCAACACGTTCAATAGGTGCATCCAGAAGCACGACCGCTCATTGAGCGCTCATTGAGCTCTTGTATCTGTTTGGTCTATATTTTTCGAACTAATGGAATATGCCAATCAGATGCAAGAGCTCACCGAGCGCTCAGTGAGCGGTCGTGCTTCTGGATGCACCCAATATATCCCTTTTTATTTACATGAACGCAAAATAATCGGATTATCATATCGTGATAACGTGAATAACTTTCATTCTTTAATTATTGCGTGTAAAATGTTATATGTGTATTTATAATCCTATATATCTAGAGAATATAATATATTTAATTACAATTTATTCTGAAAAGAATAAAGTATGATTATATTCTTTTAAATATACAATACGTAAGGGAGTAATCAGGATACACATATGTACACGTATAAACATATTATTATATTATAAAAGATATATTTACGGAAATTAATCCAAAAAGAAAATAGATAATCTCATTACCATTAATTGTGTTTAAAGTTTCCGAAATATTGTGTTAGAAAGTGCTTTGCAACGCTTGCCAAGTTTAATTATGATATACGTACAAATTTAATTTCATCGGCAAACTCGATTTCGCCATCGATACCATAGTCGGTTACATCATCCGTATTGAAGTGTCAAATCAAGTTATGCAGTAAAAATATATATATCATAAAAAGAAACTAGCCAATGTTATGTACGGTCCATCTACAAGAAACTACTTGGTTCGCATGTAACATATAGTGAGTATATTTAATTTCTAGCTTGCAGTGCAAATATCGGAAAAAGCAATTGTGTCATTTCATGAGTATGCGATTCATATAATCTAAAATTATTATATATATATATTTTTCGCTTTTATTATTTCTAAAAAAAACAAATCTTAATCGTTTCGATATTTATCCATTAAAAGAAACGAGATCTTTCTTCAGAAAAATTAACAATTATTTTCTGCTAAGTTTATTATATACATATATGAATATGAATATAGAAAATTATCTTTGTAAATATATTTATATGAAAGCTACAAGTCTCAGAAATAATTGTAATTTATCACACAGAGATATTTGGATCAGAAAGGATCAACAAAGACACAGCTTGACGATTGCGGTTGAGATTCACTGTGTCCGATACAAATAAATTCCTCTCTATGTCATTACAGTAGATCTACCGATCTAGCAGAGTTGTTACGTGGCCGAAAGGATGCGAGAGGGATAAAAGAGAGATATAGAGGGGAAGAGGAGGTAAACGGATAGATTCGCTGGGCTGAAAGTGGGGTGTCCATGATGGAGGACACAAAGACGATGCAGAAAATCTCGATATGTGAGGTTGTACCGCTCGCATAGATTATTTCCTCATGGATAACCCAATTAGAGAGATTATTTAACGCTCTAGTCGCGATCTAGTCTCCCTTCTTATCCACCATCTCCTTCTCTTGTAGTTACCACCTTCCTACCTTCCTACTTTCACAATATGTGCTAGCTCGGAAGGCGTGGTGGTTTCGCAAAGGGAAGGGCGAGAGCGGAAAGCACGCGGTGAAACAGGTACCACGACTTATAGTGGGTGTCAGTAAAAGTACCTATTTCTGTATCTAGGTATCTAAAGCCGCCTTCAGCCACGCGAGAGATTTTGCGATTGCTATCGAGTATGAACTTCCCGCAGAAACCTCGTTCCGAGGCTTATATGTGTAACTAAATGATAATAAATGTATCAGGTTGATCGAAACATACGTTTCTTGTTTTTAATTGTTTTATGACAATAATCACATAAGAAAAAAACAAATAGCTTTTTAAAAATTTCTTTCAATGTAGTATTTAATCTAGTACTTTATATTTCGAAATATGTGGTGATTAATATTTGTCATAGACTGTACTTTTTCTTATAATAAACGCAAATTAATGAAATTGGTGATCCTGGAACATTCTCGGCTCTACAACAAAAACAAACGGTAATCACGAGGATGAGAATAACTACAAGACAGTAAGAGAATAGAGAGAGAAGGCAGACTGGCAATCGGTTGATGAGATTACGTCGTTCGCGCATATACCTTACCTACACACACACGCACGCGCACGCGTGTGCGCACACACATACACACACCCCGCCACCACCATGCATGCACGCACGTACACATACACGCGCGCGCGCGCGCGCGCGTTCACGGTGAGCTCGGCAACGCGAGTGCGCATTGGGTTGTTCCCCGTGCCCAACCAGGGTTACCCGCGGTCGTTGTGTCCGAAAACTTTGGCAATAAACTTACGCGGGGCCTCGGGAGCGAGTGCGAGCGCACGGCGACCTGGCCGAACCGCATCGATAGCAGTGGCAGCGTGCCGCCGCCAGGATAGTTTCACTAGTTGCATAACTCTAATGGGCTGGCCACTGACGGCTGCTACTACTGTCGTCCGCTGTCGCGATGACCGGTATACGACAGAGACCTATCGCCACTCCCAACGGAGTATCTGATCGGAATCTTTTTTTTTTCAACGATTATAGTAGTCTCATGACTACACCTGTCAGAGGTACTTATAATTATCAAAACGGCCTCGTTAGATTGCGAGTAAATTAAAAGCTCAGCTTACAGATTTGTCATGTAAATGGTACAGTAAGACATTTCACCAATGTTCTAAAAACTTGCGAACAAAGTTTCTTAAAATTGTTTTGTTACAAAAGTAACTTCAAATTTACTACTTCAAATTAATTAAAAAATCGTCAATCGCCTTGAAGCTATTTTAAGTTGACATCCCAGAATTTTTCATTACATAAACAAATAGATAATATCTATATTCCACTCAAGATGCTCAATTTGAATGAGCATTACAATTATTCGTCATTAAGGTCCAAATTGCAATCTACAAATTGAAAATTATCACGCATATATGTCTCATATTAAAATAAATTAAACATAATACAATCTCTTCCTATCTGCCGAACTTGTTTTTATTTCAAAAAATTGGGCAGTATTGCTGATTGCAATTTTGGGCTGAAGTGAGTAGGGTGATCGACCGAAGCTTCGGCGTGTATCTATGTACAATCGACAGGTAGCCGATAGTTTCACCAGTTATGTAATCGATAGCATGCCAGCTACCGTCAAACGAACCGATCGTTTGGCAATGCAATAACAAAGTGATTGGTACGAACAGAATTCAAGTCACTAAACGAGACGACAGTTGAACTTCTTTGGAGAAAAACCACGAAATTATGATTCAATTTTTATGGATTAACAGATTTTAAATTGTACGAGGTGCGCAAGTTAGACAAAATGCAAAGTTATTTAGAAAATCAATAATTTTTCTAACAAATTCCATCTTTTTAGAACTTTTTATCTCGAATTATGTCTATCATCATTATTTTCGTCAACGAATTTATTTTCCAATTGAATTACTATTTATAAAATAATAGTATTTATATGACTTTGAATAAATTATTATTTAAGGTGTATACAGGGTTGGCAACGATATCCCATAAAAATAATTCGTTACCGTTACCGTTTTTTTTTCCTAAAAAGTAATTCGTTATCGTTATTCGTTATTATTTTGCAAAAGTAACTCGTTACTATTACCGTCACTCACAGTATAACGAGTCTAATCTAATAGAATATTATAGCATTTTTCATTGTCAGAACTTGTGCGCGCTCAGTGCACATTACTCTAATCTGAATGTAAAAATAAGAAAAAATAATTAATTTTATATGTAGCTAATTATATGTAGATTTTTGATAAATATAAAAAAAAACGTCAGAATTCTACCTTTTAATAGAGAAATAAAGCACAAAAACTGATAAATATATTATTTGATTTCCAATAACTTTTGTCCGAAACATTTTTCAAAATAGCCACTTCCCTCATACTTTTAAATGGAATGTACGTGTGGTCTCTGAAACACCCGGTATACATATATGTATATACATATACATTTGTGAGTTTTAAAAGTATATGTATATACGCTCTCTAGTTACGACTAAAATTTTTACATGGCTAGAAATAAAGTAACGATAAAAGTAATTAATAAAATCGTTATTACCCCAAAAATGTAACTGCGTTACCATGAACGTTACTCAAAAGTAAATATAATGTCGTTACCCATTCGTTACCGAAAAAAATAACTCGTAACGGTATAACGACGTTACAAGTAATGCGTTACTTGCCAACCCTGGCTGTACATGTATATATACATAGCGGTTACGCGTGGAATATCTAAACGCACATAATTGAGATAATACAGAAAATCACACACTTTTTGCATATTTATCTTTTTAATCTATTTATGCAACTATTTATGCAACTGAGATTTCAATATTCTACGCGTGAGCCGGATGATCATCACCACGTCGATTCTCAACCAGCCATTATAGTGGGTGTTGTTATCACACTTTCAACAAGAACGTTCACGCGTCTACTGACACATTGACACTCGTACGCCGCCAGCTCAGGCTTGTATTGGCTGACTGATAGGATTGCGCAAACGTCATCGAAAAGTTCATGATACAAAGTCACGTTACGAAAATGGCGCGGCACAGCGCGGCGCTGCGTAGCTCGCGCTACATGTCGATGGCTATGCAAGAGCGAGAATGCACGCGGGAATGTATCGGTGAATGTTAATGCCAATTCGAACATGCCGGTAATAATAATATCAGCGAGCATGGTCGCGCGACGGCCTTTCCCCGGCTCGTCGCGTCGCGTCGTGACACCCACTCTCATTTGCATTCGTTGCACGCTGGTGACCGCGAGGCTTGCTAATTAGTCGTAATTGCGGTGGCCCTCGACCAATAATATCGGATTCTTAACTTAAAACTTAGAAAACCCGTGAATCTTGATGTAAAATTTAATTTAAAATTGACAGGCTAACATTCGATTAACGAATTTGAAAACTGGGTTGAGATTTGACAGCCGAATTTTCAATTTTAGCTATACAAAGAGATAAATTTTCCGAATGCACGTAATTTTTTTCTTTTAATTTAGTTTTTTGCAAGAAGATGTACATATACATATACCAAGATGTACATATATATCTATTACTAAATAGTCGGGTAAACTATTTCAGGATTAATTTTGTGATCCATATACGGAAAGAACAGTTTTGAAATCTCTAAAATTTAGTTGGATACGGATCTAAAAATAATTTTGTTGAATTAGTAAAATAATTATAAAGGATGCTTAATAGGATGGTTGCTAGAGTGCCACATTTTTATGCAGCATATGTTGCTCAACATGCTTCAGAGTTGTCTACTAATATTTTGATAATCCAATAAAATTATTTTTAGATCTCTATTTAGCTGAATTTTTAGATATTTCAGTGAAATTGTTCTTTCTGTATATATATAACTTGAATTGTTGGTTCAAAATCTTCGGTGTTGACAAGTTTAGCGTTTCAATTCGATTTATTTGAACGATGCTTTATATCGGATACAGCTTATTTTCAAGGAGCGCCGTCAGTTACTATATACTTATGACTTTTTTTGTTTTGCGTTGCAGATATAAAATTATTATTAACAGACATATTTTTTAATGCAATAAAAAATAATGTATTTATTGAGAGATTTATAATTAATTGTTGAACGAAGCGCGGAAGTTTTTTTCCAGTGTGTGGAGTTTATTGAATCTATGAACGCACAGATTTGCTTCGTTCAACAATTAATTATAATTCTCTCAATAAATACATTATTTTTTATTGCATTAAAAAATATGTTTGTTAATAATAATTTTATATTTGATGGATAATGAAACGTAATTTGATGAAAGCACCAAGTTATTGTGGTCAAATTAAATACATGATATTTATGATAATACAAATGGAATAACCTTTGGCGCAATTTTACATAATTGCAATGTATAGCTTTAGGTTAACTCGGTTGACCTGTCTCTATCGTTATCACGCTATTCAACTGATCTTTCCCTCCGTTGGAAATATGATTTTATCAGTTTATATAATTTAACACTTCGTCAATTTTCCGTTCAGTTCGTGGAAAATCGTATAAAGCGACGTTTATCGTTCGGTGTTTAATTTAGCACAGTACATAATCCACACAGTAAATTTCTCAAATATCTCTGACTTTAATTAGAGATCTTGATAATTAATAAGTGAAATCGTGTTTCGGCAGTGATGATTAGAATCGCAGAATAGCATCAAATTTTTCATTTATAGAATTGAATCGTGCAAGCTTTGCGAAATTTTTGTGGAAAATTCTCAAATTTGTTCTTTTCTTTCCATTTCAACCTACCGCTTTATTCAGCATTTCAAATGTATTGTAAAAATAAAAAATCTTATAATAAAAAAATATATTTTCTTTTTTTATAGTAAAAGATTATGCTGGATAATTATTAATGTGTTTAATAATTCATAGTGTGTTTCACTGTACCTGCATCGCGTGACAAACAAATACCTTTACCATACCGTCGTTGTGTTTCTGTAAAAATTTATCTCGAACAAGGTCAGGAGCAAGTCAAGTGTCGATAGTACATGTTTCTTAATTTATTGCGTATCAAATACGACAAAAAGACTATCCATCTCGATAAAATATAATCCATCAAAAATTTAACAATTTAAAGGTTTAATTAAAACGGTTAATAAATATTTAAAACAGTTCCTTATGTAACTTATGTTACATGGAGCATTGAACGCGATAAATCTCTATCTAACGCAAACCGCATAAAAATAAATAAATGTGAAAATTCTCGGAAAATAAATATAAATAAAATGAATGTAAATTCTTTAAAAAAAATAGTCTAGTCTCTTTGAATTGTGCACCGATTTTTGTTTTATTAAAAAAAATCGTCCAACAATGGCTTCTATTAGAGAGATATTAAAAGCTCATATAATATAGATATTAGAAAGTTTACATTTTTTAATTATGTAAAATAATACATATGTAATTTATTTTG